AAATCTGACCAGGTCACAAGTCGTTCATTTTTCACTTCATGATCAGAGTGGTATTTCATTATTTACTGATTTCATTTTTTGCAAGGTCTTGCTGGATTACCTTTGAAAATTAGGCTGGTCCTAATCTCATAGAGTAATTCCTACATAGTATTCTGTTTTATTTATGTCTTACACAAATTTACTGGAACTGGGGTTGTAATAGTTTCTCACCTGACAACTAGAAGGGTCCAGTTGTAAAACACAGCAGTCCCGATCACTATCAGCCACTGATAGTAGATATTATCAGACGGGGATAAAACCACAACTTTCCACTTGCTCCTCCTGACAGAAAACAGACAGATTGAAATGAATCTCAGCTCATTTGGAAACAGTTAGTTTTGATTGTGGTTGTTTTCTCACGTGCGTCTAGAACGTTGGGTTTCATTCTCTATATCGGAGCCAGTGTGGCTGTGGCTGAACCTGCTGGGRGGGCCCTGCATGTCCATGTTGGCTGGGCCCCTAAAACGCTCCAAAAAGGAATCTGGTCGCTCCGCCTCCTCAGCCAGACTCTTCTGAGCCCATTCTCTCAGAGTCATCACCATACTGACTATCCTGAAGACAATAATCGTTTCAAAAGTCTGAACAGACCAGAATCATTCATCTCATCTTAAAACCTTAAAGTATTTAAATCATTTAAAAGCTTATAATATAACAATTCTTCTGCATATATGACCAAACTTTGTCATACCTCGACAAAGCCCCTCGTCCTCGAAAAGAACTTTGGGAATTCCCATCTCTCCTCTCATTGGCCGCCATTCTCTGCAGCTCTGAAGAAGTGTCATCACATATTGACTGCCTTCTGCAAATTCAAACATACACCAGAAAATCATTTTAAAAATATCAACGTGAGCTAAAACTTGTTGGTTTTCAAGTGGAGTGCTGAAAGAAGCGCCATCTTGGAGCTCAGCTGTAGCACTGAGGGATTGTGTCAGTGTGGTCAGAGAGGAAGAGGCTGTCCAGTTTGAGTCAGAGTGGTGTTTTAGTGCTGTCATGGTTTGCCTTCAGTACAGGGGTGTCCAGAATCACATGGTTCCAGGACACACCTTTCACCTTGGACATTCAGGGAGGTGAAGTTATGATAACTGGATTTCTGCTGATCGGCGGAGGTGGATTCCTGATCTGTCGAAAAGTGAAAGTGACCCTGACAGCGGTCCGGGCCATTGAGAAGCTACCTGGCGCAGTGGATGGAATCTGCCAGGCTGGTAGCACACAGACTCAGCTGCTGGGGGAGATAAATTGCAAACTGTATGTGGTTCTGATGAGAATTGCAGCTCAGGAGTGAGCCTCCGGCATGTAAGATTATATCTAGGTGAAGCTTCAGGTGGTGAAGAAGCAAGGAGACCCTGAATTCAGCTGATTGGAATTTTCTTCACCCCTTTCAGAGATGCAGTAAAGACACTAAAAACAGCAGGAAATTCAAGGCTGTTTTGTCCCAAAATAATTGTGTTTATCTATTTGGCTCCCACCGGCTTTGCCTCAACTGCCATGCTTTATAAACTCCCCAAGGATGATACGTCAACAAGGGCTTAATTCCCTCCCACCCCCATCACCCGTGTTGGCCTTGGCCTGTGAACCCAAGGAGGAGGAAACTCTGATCTCTGGTGAACTGTACTGATAACATCATGGACTCTGGACTCTGGCGGGTCTAGGGTCGGTCCTAGCACAGACACCCACCCTCAACATCACCGACTCCCCTGAACCCTGCCCCATCTCATGTGTTATCTGACCCAAGCTCTCTCCCTGCCCAGGCTGTCTTGCCCTATCGCGAGTTGTTTTTTGTGCACATGACACTGTGTTTCTGATGTAAACATAGGATCAGAGCAACTTTTTTAAACTCATCTCAGCTGTTGTGTATTTCCAGCTACAAAAACGTATCGTGACCCTGGTTGCACATGAACTGTTCACCTGTTCCCCCATGTTTTGTTCTGTATGTTATTCTTGAATGGGTGTTCTTAACTGCAATTTTCGTTCTACATCGCATCCATGATGTTATGTTTGAATGACAATAAGAGAATCTGAATAAAGCAAATCTGAATCTGAAGTATCAACTGAGCAGCACCTGGTGGTGAACTGGATGAAGGGACAGATACAGTGTACTATATGTTGTAAGTAAGGCAGTGAGTTGTAGTACTGAGAGACATTTAGTTTGTGTTAAGGTCTCAAGAAACAATCTAGTGGTAAACATTTATAAGTGTGTTCTTTAGTTTAGAACTGCACAACCCTTTAATTAGTCCAAAAAACCAGCCAGAACCAGCAGCATGAGCAGCTCAAGTTGTGTGACAAAACACAAGTCTAACATCATAAAAGCTGCATACACAATTAAGTTTTGCCACAATACACCGAGTTTAACTCTGGTTTAATATTTGTGGTTGTTAGTTGTGTAATGTTTGAGGCTGTTTAATGATCAGAGCTACAGTACATGCTGCTGCTATGTAAACCCTGTTATGCATAGGAGGTATGCGTGTTTAAGCTTAGGAGGTTATAATGAGTTAGTCATCTTGGACTTTTTTCTTGTTCCAGAAGCCTCTGATCTCATTCAAATCAATTCAAATTCAGTTAAAAAAATTATTAATTTCATTTAAAAAATAACTATATACAGTACAATAACAAAAAATAAATAAACTAAGAAAATGCACAAATCAAAATAAAATAAAAAGGTAGTAGAAGAAGAATAAATCTTATTATGTCTCCCCCTTTTATCCTCAGAATATATTGAAATGAAACATAATTTACAAAACAATACTAAATAAATAAATAAATAAATAAATAAA